GAACTTATGAAGCTAGTATTTTTAGGGCAAATGGGGAAATACTTAAATTGACAACAAACAGAAAAACAGGATGGGGGACATCCACCAAAGAACACTTCGTTTTGGACAACAACGACGAGGGGGGGAACAATCCAATCAAGCTGCGTGGAAGTTTTAACACCCCCACCTGTTGACACGAGTGTGTGGTGCACGTGTGTGGGTGAGAGGGGGCAGAGGAGGAAGAAGGAGGAGGCTCGAGAGAAGTCAAACCCGAGCAGAGGAGGAAGATGAGAAATGGAGCCTGTTCTGTTTCTGTTGGACCACTGCCCCGCAGGCACGGCGCAGGATCCCAGAGCCCCATAGTGAAAATTGGCGGAATAAAACACAGACAGAAATGAGAGACGCGCTCAAGCACCCTACTGTTGTGACAGGATACCTGGAGGGCAGCGCTTCCTCTTTAATTTGTCTCGTATGGCTCGAGACCCCCAACCAGTCATTCAATCCTCAGAGCCTGCTTAAGCCTACAGATTTTAATTCTCGATGGTGAAATTATATGCCATAATTAAATATCACATCATTTTAAAACGGCTCGGTGGCAGAGAGGCATCTTATCGGCGCTTTTCCTCGGCGTCGTCGTTGTTATCACATTAATAGTAACAACATCTAAACTGGGCCTATCAGCGTTTGTGCGGGAAATTGCGGGGCTAAACAAAGGGCACCTATGGGTTTACAGCTTATATTCAGATATTTTTGAGCAGGAAACGTTAACCTTGAAATGCTGCTATCTGCGTCTAACAATGTGTGATCATAACCCCATAAATGAGGGGAGAAATTGAATCCTTTTAAGTTATTAAGCAGGAAAGGATTATAAACTCGTCTTTATAAATGAACTAGAAATCCCATGTCTGCCTCTGTACACTTTCAAATTTCCCACAAGAAGCTGGGGAGGAAAGATTGCCCCTTTTCAAGAGCCCCACAAGAGATGGAAAAACCATTTTTGTGCCCAGATAGGAAGTCGTCCCACATGGTAAGCGCCACTTTAATTAATAGACAGCCTTGAGAGGTATCACTGTCAGCCTGGATAATGGTGACAGAGCTAGTGTTTGTGCTTCCATGAATATTTCTCATGTGATCAAAGTCAAATGCCAGCACAGAGTGAATTTAAGCCTACTCAATTTTTTTTCTTCTTAATGCTGTCGACACTTAGGGCTCCTGACGCTGAAATGCCTCGCCAGGCTGTTAGGCCTACAAGCTTTAACTGCGCTCTTTAAAATTGATGTTCATTACTCATAAGATGTGGGTTTCGTGTTATTGTGTTGCGCAGCTTGCTCATATTACCTTGCTGGAACCAACTCACCAATTTGTTACACCAGTGGGAGCTGGTGTGATCAAGTCTCGCGATAAAAATAACGAATCAAATCTAATATTTTGATTTCTTTAAAAGGCTAAATAAAAAACATGATTGAATCCATTTGAGCTTATTTTGCTACCTCTACAAACATGTTAAAGCACATTCCACAGAAATTAAAAGCAACAATGATAATGTGTTTTGGCCAACTGACGAAAGGATATTACAAGTAGCCGAATAGTTGCTAAGCAACACGCTACATCACAACACAAAAATTGTTTTAATCCATCAGAAATTAAGATAAGTGTTGAATGAGCTAAATTTTTATCGATTTGAAGCGTTGATTTATATATATAGGTATATATATATAGGTATTGAAAAAAATATTTAGATTAAAAAATACACTAATAAACTTTAGACTGAGTTTTTTTCCTTATTTTTCTTTATTTCTTTCGTTCATTCTTTTTTTTTACTGTTTGGCTCAGCAGAAATATTGCAAGTACACTGGCCTTCGCCAGGTCTTTTCTGTTGAAAACTGACAAATAATAAGGATATCTAATCAAATAAATGAATAAATGCCATGTGTATTAGATATATTTGAAAAACAATGGCATGGTCTGTCAGATCCTTATTCGTTTATGTTTTCTGATAGAAAGGTTTTAAAACATATGTAGGCAATATTTGTATTTTTG